CAGGGGTATTGATACTTGCCTTCAATCATTGCATTTTGTGTTACGGCACATTACTTCTACCAATGATAGTGTCTAACGGAAATTATAAGACAGACTGTGAGGTAAAAGCCTTCCCTGGCTGAGCTTAATTTATGACACACTTTTACGCAATCGTCATGGCGAATATTGCGAGTTGTTCATTGGTAGACCATGTGTGAATTATCTTAACGCAAAACGAGTGTCATCTATTGCTAAGTAGGCCTTTCACGTTGTAAGCTTTAATGTATGTATTTACTATTGCCAAGCGTATTATTGGTGCAGATAAATCGTTTAGTTAAAAGCTATACCGCAGTAAGACTGCAGTTATCGCTACGTCAATGAGTCGGCCCTCAATTTGCATTGATACCTAGCTGAAAGCTTTGCAACAAATTCAACTTGCGAATTGCATTTTGCTAAAATTTGACGTCATTTCTTCATTCGTGAAACTGTCATCATACCTACCATCCTTCCATTTCCAATGTATTAATCATAGTACTTAGATTCAGTAGGTGACTGTCCTTTAAAAGCTGCTAAATGCATTCTGAGCAATGTCGGCTTTTAGTATTTGTTACGATCGATCTTCCGCTGTTTGACCGATCGAGTTGCATTCTAAATTAAAGCCTATATATCTCAGTTTATGCTTCTAAAAGTTAACTTGTTTCTATATGTGCTTTTATGTACTCTGTGTCAGTGTCCACGTGTATGAAAAGAAATAATGGGGTTGTGCGTCCCAGGGTTTAAAACAATGTAGTTCTACAGTCCGAAGTAAAGACTGTCCCTAAGAGAGGATGAACAGAAACAATACGAATGGCACCTTATATTTTCATAGTCCGCAAGGCAGTCGCGTTGATATTTAAAAGTGTCCAAACTTACTTAACATTTTCCATCATGTCCGGCAACCAATTGATATTTTCGGAAAAATATTCGAGCAGTAACTATGTGCTTCTGTTATGTCAACATAACCTGTGTTCCCATTTCACCCAGTAGGATTTTTTTGTATCTATCAGGCGCACAACATGATGTGTGCGGCGTACAAATTACGACAGTGTGAGATAATGCAAGTAGCAAAGGGTAACTGAAGAGCTGATCATAATTTCCACATACATGTTATAGTAACAACGATTCGTCACAGTTTTTATTTTCGAACGTTTATTCTATGCTAAAAGCAGCCGTTCAAAGAGTGGAATGCAAAATGTCCAGCAATTAAACCGTTGACGCCGGTGGACAGCAGATGTAAAGAAAAATTTGAGCTTGCTCATTAACTGATTACGATAAAAAAGAAAAAGCAAACCTTCGTTGAATAACCTCATAAGTTACACGTTTACTGCTTGTGAACATGTTAATTTTTATTCAGAAATTTTGCGGTAAACAAAGTTAACCAGCTGCTTGAGTTCTAAGAGCTATCAAACGTAGCCAGTCACTGCAGAAGAAAAATATTGCTGAGTAGCTTACTATAATTTGCACAAGGCTTAGAAACTAATAACTCTATCCCCAATAGAAATTGGATGTTGCTCGCCTGAAAACACCGTACCACGGTGACGCGTGTCATTGTTATTACAGCACAGCAGATAGAGGTAGCACGCATCGAACCAAAGTTCACTTTGATGGGCATCGCGGTCAACATTGATATTGCGTGTCGCAATCCATCCACACAACTTGCACTTCGAAATGATCTTCAACATCGATCAAATAATTCAACCGCTTCATTGAAAAGTCCCATGTCATGCTTTGCCTTTCAGTGCTTCTTGACTGCATTATTGGGGGGCTGGGAAATCTCAGAAACATTTGCACTCTTCATAATTAATGACTGATTTTTATAACTGGAACCAATATTCATACAGACTGACTTCACTCTCTCATAGATAACAATATATTTTGGAAATGGGATTTCTTCAGGTTGTTTAGCGGGTCGAATTATTTACGAATGGCTGGGACAGCAACTAATTGCTGACTTTTTACAATCATCTTTTTATTAGACAGATGTATTCATAGTCTGTTACGTGGTCTATAGGTGGTCGGCGAATCATGAGAACTACAAGAAGCAGGTATTTATTTGTCTTTTAATCAATCCAGAAGCAATTCTTTGCAATAAATAAGCAAAATGTGATGAGCTCATAGTTTGTCGGGGTTAGCAAAACGTAAAACAAAAGGTATTAAGATACGCTTATCACAAACCAGTGATGGATTTTCTAAAGAAAACTGACGTACAACAGCCGAATAAATTGTATAAAGCACTAAGGTCATTGCAAAGCCTTGTTTATCTGTGTAAGGCATGGTCATATATGAAATGCATGTAAGTTGCCCTATATTTTTCTTTTCATAATTTTCATCAAAATACATGAAAATCTATATTGCATAGATAACGAAATTTAGATTTGAAATAAGTAGAATTGAAATAACTAACAACTAAATAACTAATAATCAACTAAAATCCATATAAAAATAAGTTGCAGCCGAAAATTAGTAGTTATATTCCTTCTTGTGATGAGGGGGAGCCTAGAGTTCTTCTCATATCATAAAATGTGGAAGGCAAAAGCTAACATGTTACAAGTCAAGCAGCCTTAAATGGTTAAAACTTATAACTTAGTACTGTCTTCAATTGACATCCGAAGCATATACTATTTTGCTGACAACGAGAACAACTAAAGCACATCCACTCACAAATTGCACCGAGGAGAGTTGTGAGGATCTAACCTTCCTCATGACCTATGATAAAAAGTAAATAGTTTACACCATGACTGAATTGAAACATGCTTATAATGTATTGTTCATAGTTTGCGTGACCACAGTGCCCTTCAGGTTTGATTAGAATTGATGTTGTCAAAAAAAGATGCACTTCACACCAGGATGTTACATATATTCGGAAATCACTAGCAGTGCGCATTTCATCTGAAGCGTCATCATTCACAAGATTTAGATCACTGGATTTAGTGACCAAATTCTCGATTGGATAGATAACTTCCTGATTCAAAGACATTTGCATGTGAGAGTACGCAGCGCAAACTCTGACCTTGTCGATGTTCTGTGCGGAGTGCCACGGGGCCGAGTACATGGTCCTCGCCTATTCCTGCGTTGCATAACCCATCCTGCAAGAGTAATCAATGCAAATTTCTTGCATTTCGCTGCTGATCAAAATATACGGTGATTCATCAAAACAGCTAGTGATCACATATTGCTTCAGGCCACTTCCTTAAAGTATAGGAATGGGTGACTAAAAACCAGCATAAATTTCAACCCCACTAAAGTTAAGACATTGAAAATAGGTCATTAAGCTATTTGCGTGTACAAGCAGTTTGTTTCGACTGAATTGCGATCCAGGTGTGATAGCACAAGAAACATCTTGGCTTTCTACGTCAGGCCGAGAAGGTGTCCAAAAAGCCAACCAACAACCTTGCCTTTTGCAGATAGTGTTCAGGCGTTTTGATCCCACAAACTTCTCTCTGGTGCTCAATGACTATATTAGGCCCATTCAGAATACGTCATTCACGCCTGACAGCCTTTATACAAGCACAACTTCACCGTACTTAAACAGCCACAAGGAAGGGCCACAATGATCTTAAAGGATATGTTTCTTCTTGCTTATCAACTGAGGTTGGAATCTTTTGGGATATACAGTAGACAATATCGACGCCTGCGTGGCGCATTTTTGAAAATGAAATATCTGGTTTTGTGTAACTTAAATCATGCTTGAAGTCATTTCTGAAGTTGTATCACCATACCAGTCTGAGATGTCAGCAGGTAAAGCTGGCTAGCCGGTTGAAATGTCGCCGTAATTTATTTTCCCTTCGTGTACACCAAACATGGAACGCCGCCCCCCCTCCGCTTATGTTTTTTCTACTTCCACACTGACGGAAGTCAAAAGACGTCTTGATGATGCACCCATACCATCCACCCATACCATCTGTGTCCAGGAGTCAAATTAACCTTTAAATAAACTTGCATACTGTCGTTTTTTTCATATAATCTATTAAACGCTGATACCGCGGAAACTGTATTTGCGCATCTCGTCAGCCCAAGGTGGCTGTGTACAGGTAAGCCCTGTCCATTCCATTGTGCAAGCTTTTTCCACGTACTACATGAACTATAGATGCTGCCATATTTCTTTGTGCACTACATTAAAATCCCATTTCAAACAATCAGTATGCTTCAGTGCAATTAAATCAGTTGATGCTGAACGAGAAGAATCAGTTTTCATTTGCTCTTTATAGTTGTTATTCCAACCATACTCCGGGATTTGCTAAGCACATTTTTGTTTATCCGTGCTAAATCATAGTTCATTTGTCATCATCTATCAGCTGTGCGGCCAGAACCCAAGATTTTCCATTAATGGGTTCTTGGGTAAGACAGGTTGCGCACGGGGGCTGAGCGGAAGTCCCCATAACTATAACAATTTGTCATATAGCGAGGCTACTCATTCTCCAATGTCATGCAAGTTATTGTGTTCCCTAAATTCCACCTTTTAAGGCGATGTCGTCCCAGAACTTCAAAAGTTTTCTAAATCAAAGGGGAGTTAACGGAGATGGGTTTTGCGTTCCGGCTGTGCTGGATGAAGATAGAATGAACAGTTCCTCGGTTGTTCCCTAAATGTATGAAACAGTACTGCAGTGCTTTTCTAGAGTTGGACTATGACGAACCCGTTTGGGAATCTTTATTCACATCCTACATTTTCCCAAGCTCCCAAATCGCTAACAGTGTACTATGTAGAGACTTCATGTTAATTTTTTATAGTTAATCAAGGTTTTTTGATATTTTGAGTAGCCTTTTATTAACCATTGCAATCTACATGAAGAAGCATACATTATGCGTTCAACCAAACTTTCATATCCACAATCATACAAAAGCTAACCAAAAAACAGCAATCCCATGGACCGTAATGCCCAATCACAATTATTTTCGAGGAACAGCCAATCAAACTGAATTGGATAAAGTAAATATATAGCCAGAAACAAGGGAATTTAAAGAAGGAGGCGGAGTTGTATAACCTTCAAATTGTTTTCATGTTGCGAGGAGGAATCTATTGTATTGGTTAAGAATGAAAGGCAGTAAGCGTGACAGTCAGAAATTCCGATGGAAATTCACAAAATCAATGTTAAGAAGGCCATTGGAAAAGGTGAGTTAAGTGTGGATGCAAACTTTATTGCACTGGGTTTTTAGATAAGCACAGTACGATAATTTAACACTATGAACCAAATACGCTTTAAGTATGATGTTTATTTGCAAGTTATAATGTTCTGGTCAACAGTCATCCACTTGGACAGAATTTTATGCTTAATTTAGGCAGGACAGATTATGATATCTATGGTAGTTCTGAAAGCGGACTTGCTGGATTTCGTTTTGTACATCGTTAAATGTACAGCATTCTAAGCTCTAAATTTTATGCGCAAACACCTATAAGTTTTGTTGCTGCTGTCTTGTCTCATAACGCTTCTATTATTAC